TAAAACGGTTGCGAGGTTGGTCCCACGAGCCAAGCCCAGGCTGAAAGAGTTAATAGACATATCGGGAGAGCCAAAACAGCCACCACAAACAAGATGACTTCTGAAGGAGAAGGGAGGTCACAACAGTGGATGCCATGTTGAATGGGGCAAAAAAGGTGGAACACTCATGCAAAGATATAAGTACCTATCAGAAATATATTTTCAGTGTAGGAAAATATTAACTTCTGATACAGTACTTTACCTCCTCTCACAACTAGCTAGAATTTCACATTGAAAAGGTGGATGGACTTGTGCAAATGTTACCTAGATGAACACCCTTCAGAAAGCATCCAAGGAATGTCCATGGAGTATGACCTCTGTTGAGAGAGGAACACACCCACAGGAGACTGCACCACATCTATACCAGATATACTTTTTGTTCAATGAGGTAATAAGTGTCACAGAATTGGGTAAAAATGAGTTGGCGCATGTCCAGTAATGTATACATGTTGGTTGATCCAACTCAACACACAACACAAACACCTGGGAATTAACATCCAGTAGATGGCAGGAGGGTTACCAACTAAAGTTATGGTTGGAAAAACTAAGTGGATGTGCCCCACAGTGTAGAATGGCTAGGGCATGTCAGACCGTACTCAGTGGGTCAACCCCAGTCCAAAATCAGGGGAAATCGAGTATGTATCATTTATTCCACAGTAGGAGGGTCCATACTGTCTTTACCTCAAGCCTAAGGGACTGAAGGGAAAAGGTTCCATTTCATGTGATTAGACAGGGCACAACTAACACAAGCCACTCAGAAAACCAACATCTGAATGATGGTAGGAAGGGAAGTAACCATGTGGTGGTTCACTCAAATCCAAAACTAAATAAACTTCTGGTTCCTGGTTCAGGTCTATGCATTACCAGAACATACAAGTCACAACCTGCAAGTGATAGGCTGGGGATACCCCAGCCAACCATATAACCTGTTAATCAGTCCAGCTCCTTGCAATACCAAACTCCCAAGCCTCAGCTTGATGGAGGAGGCATGCCCCAAGCAACTACTACATCGTGTCCATGGTAGGATAAGGGCTCCAAACCAACACATGCATGAGGACTTAAGTTGTCTGGTCCAGCTCTAATGTAAAACCTATCATCCAGGAAACAACATCAAGGTGGTAGGATGAGGAGTTCCAACCAGAGGGAGGAACTGCATTATAGTGGATCTATAATTCTGTTGGACCATCTACACCTGTAAAACACCACTGCCCCACCTTCTACTGAATGGGATTGACCACATTCAGGAGGAAGCCTCCATGGTCCACCACTCCTGGCTAGAAACTGATAAATGGTAAGGACTCCCATAATCCACCCAAAGAAGAAAAGAATGTACTGGAAAGTCTTAATGGCTGACACTTGAGACTGTGCAATGGGTAACCACAAAATCCCTATTTTCAAAAGCCAACCCTCCCCGGATTTATTCATTTGAAGGAATGGCAGGGATGGGCAGCTATCACCTTCTGCTTTACTCATGATAGTCCATGAGTCAGTATGATTTTGGTAGAGGAATATCTATGAAGCAAAATACCACAAGGAGAACCTACTAGTAGTTTTATGGATACCCCATATCAACAGTGTGAATCATAGGTATGTAGAGGTATATATATATATATATATAGGTAGATATAGATTGGCAGGTCAAGCCCCATTAGTTTGACCTTTTGGTACACCCCAACCAACTGGTCCAGCTCCTTGCTACAACAGCCTCTAAGATGGACCCATTGGAAGTGGTGTGCTGGGGATACCCCAGTTGGTGTTTTATATACTCTATGTGTGATAGGCCATACAGTGTGGATTTTGCAGGTGATAGCCTATAAGTAAACATGGACAGGCACCACTCATCACTGAATAGGATCCACTACCTAAAAAGGAGATGTCCCTGTAGGAGAGAGAGAAAAGTAAACTTACTGTTACACAGTTGAACGATCATCTGGAGAATGACAACAGATGGAATGTGACATCAGGATCAGGAAGAAACAGCCACATGATTTAGGTAGAGAGAGATGAACATGTTAGGATGATCTCTTTCATTAGATGATGTAGATGAGCTGTCAGGGAAAAGTAAGATGTTGAAACTAGTTAGATGACACCTTGAAAAGACATTGGAAATTGGGAGATAGGGTTGTATACACCAGCCAAATAAGTTTATGAATCCAACCCATGAGGGTAGAAATTGAAAAGTTTCAGAAAGAGTATGGGTTCCAGGGAATGAATATCCAGGAGCAAGACCCATGGAAGGGAGCCATGTGGAGGATATAATAAAGAAGAGCACGAACTGGAGATAGAAGTCTATCTAGATATGAAAATAAGCATAAATGTAAAATGGAGGGGAGGGAAATTAGCATATGGGAAGAGTTGCCCTCATGAGCCACCAATTTTTTGGGAAGGACAGTATGATCCAGATAAAGGAGAACATTGATGTGTAGGTAAGTGTATGCAATATGTCGATGGTAAATATGTCCAGCCTCTGACGTCCATAGACCAAAAAGAGTAGGAAATAGGTTTTAAGGGAGAGATGGTAGAGGGAACAGGTAGCCAAGAGTTCAAAGAGAGGAAGGGTAAGAGTGTGGAAAACAACATTAATATCCCAATAGCAATACAGTACAGTGAGGACAATCAATCTGGAAGGAATGCAACAAATGGGAAATGGTGGGAGAGGAAAACACTTTGCAGAATACAGAAGGTATGAGAAAAGGCTGCTCAATATCCTTCAATAGACTATACTGATGAGTTATGATCAAACAGCCAGGTAAGGAATTCTGCAACGTGAAGTACAGTTGGCCAGGAAAGACAAAACACATAGTGTAGAGACCATGGGTGAAAAGTCTGCCATTTTCTTTTATAAACCATGAGTAAGGAAGAGTGAACAGAATGGGATAAAATAGATGCTACACACCTGGGTAATCCATATCTCCTCCCAAGGGACCATACAATAGCCATTCATGAAGATGCAGTGTGTGGAGTGCAGGATGTAGAACCAGCAACTGAGGTTGACAGAGGAAAGATGGTGTAAGAGTAAGAAGTAATGGTGGAGTCAGTTGAAGGAGGGTGAGAAATGAGAACCATGACTGTGCCAGAAAGGTGCGATGAAAAGTACCCAACACAGAGTGGAGTGGATGATGAAAATCACCCAGGGTAAGAGTGAGATTGGAGGATAGGCACATAGGTACCT